ACAACTTACCAACTGAAACTAGGAAGCCACTTGCTGACCTAACCTAGCAGCCAAACCTGTTCTAGTATATTCCATTGATTATAAAGGCATACACACACATACTAAGCCATCTTTAGAGCTAAAGATTTTTATACCTCCTGAGGAGTATCTGGTTAAGCTACTGGATTGTTTGGAAAAGTAAAATAATAACTTTCTTTTTCCTACAGTAATATATCCATGGTCAAGGCAGCCACTTTTTTGCCAACTGCTGGGTTTAATAACAGTCAGAAAGCAACACAGGTACTGTTGCTTATACTTAAGATATTCTAAGAAATGTATCTATTTTCCAAGCAAAACCTAGGATGAGAGTAGTACTTAATGTGTCCATTTTCTTTTTTTATAAAATGTCATATTTTATTTTCTTAAAACAGTACATGGCTATATAAAACAATTCCAAAGAAGCAAAATTATAAATCATACATTACTTATTCCAATTATTCTTAAGTGTTTGTGCCACTTCCTCTATTATGTCAATCAGTAACCAAGTTAAAAGGACAGACAATTGAGTTATTAGCGCACTGGGGCCATGCACTTACTAGCCCTTCACTCATAGTTTTGTTTTTGTTTTAAGATTTATTTATTTATTTGAGAGTTAGAGTTACAGAGAGAGGGGGAGAGACAGAGAGAGATCTTCCATCTAATGGTTCACTCCCCAAAGGGTGGCAACAGCCAGAACTGGACCTATCTGAAGCCAGGAGCTTCCTCCAGGTCTCCCACGTCAGTGCAGGGGCCCAAGCCCCTGGGCCATCTTCCACTGCTTTCTCAGGCCATAGCAGAGAGCTGGATTGGAAGAGGAGCAATTGGGACTAGAACCAGCACCCATATGGGATACAGGTACTGCAGGCAGAGGCTTACCTACTATGCCACAGTGCTGGCCCCAAATGTATAGTTTTTCTGATGTTCAACCCAATAGGAAATCGTTAATAACTTCTAAAACACACATCAAAACTGAGCAAATAATCAATCAGTTTAAACATACAAAAGGCACTGAAATGAAAATTCTAAGGCTTGAACATGAAAGCAGCCATTCGACCTGCCAACACCCCTTTTTCAGCTCTGTAACATGCAGATAGTACAGGTTGGCCTTTGTGGCTCAGTGGGTTGAGCTGCCGCTTACAGTACCAGCATCCCATATAGCTGCCGGTTTGAGTCCCAGATGTTCCACTTCTAATCCAGCTCCCTGCTAATTTGCCTGGGGAAGCATCAGAAGATGGCCCAGGTGCCTGGGCCCCTGCACTCACGTGGGAGACCCAGAAGAAGCTCCTGGCTCCTTGCTCCTGGCGCCTGGCTCAGCCCTGGCCATTGCAGCCATCTGGGGAGTGAACCAGCAGATGGAAGACCTCTTTCTCTGTCTCCCCTCTCTCTCTGCCTTTCAGATACATAAATAAAGCTTTTTAAAAAACTGTAGAGGGCCGGCACTGTGGCTCACTTGGTTAATCCTCTGCCTGTGGCGCCAGCATCCCATGTGGGCACTGGGTTCTAGTCCCGGTTGCTCCTCTTCCAAGCCAGCTCTCTGCCGCGGCCCGGGGGTGCAGTGGAGGATGGCCCAAATGCTTGGGCCCCTACACCCATGTGGGATACCAGGAAGAGGCACCTGGCTTCGGATCAGTGCAGTGCCAGCCATAGCACCCATTTTGGGGGTGAACCAACGGAAGGAAGACCTTTCTCTCCGTCTCTCTCTCACTGTCTAACTCTGTCAAAAAATAAAAACTGTAGATAGTGACACGTTTTTGCTATCTCATATGGTTATTGTTGGAATGAATAGAATCTAAAGTGGTTTATTTATAAATCATAAAATGCTACCTACATGAGAGATCATTGGGCCCTGATGTTTTTCTAAAATAGTCAGAAAACAGTTTGTAAATCAGAGAACAGCAAAATGGAAAACCAGGCAAGTACAAGCCGCGTGCTCCAAAGGCAGGAGCTCTGTACCGTCCAGGACGTGGAGGTGCACACACCACGGGCAGCCGTCGGTTTCTAACTCAGCACACTGCTGCTGCCTAGGTTTCTCTGCAGACTCCAGAGGTCAAGCAAATGAGGAAGGCCGAGGAAAGGAAGTGGCTGACTCACAACGCAAGGCCCACGATCGCTGACCCAGAGGTGTTAAACGCTGAGATGGTCACTCGGAGCGATGGGGCCATCACAAGCCGTCCGAAGCGTTGCGTAAGTGGCTATCTTGGAGGTGCAGCTTCAGGAAACTGCTCACAAGCAGCACCCAGCTACCTATGACGTAGGGGAGCGGCACACTGTATTTGCAGAGTATTCTAGACCAAGAACCACAGAGAATCCAAAACGGAGACTCGGAACATAGCAACTCATAACAACATAACAGGAGCAGCAAAAACATGCCACGGCCGTTTTAGTCTCAGGGAGGCGTGGATACAAGAGAGCGGAATAATATCCACGGCGTGCACTGTCAGCTCTGCGAAGAGCTCCAGAATCCGCCTTCCTGTGCCCGCCGTGTTTGTGGCCCTGATGGTCCAGCAGTAGAAGAGGAAGAGTGGCCCAGAACTTGAGCTTGTTTTCCCTGTCCTGGTTATTGCCGCACACGGACCGCACGCTTCACAGTTCTTTGTATAGACCCGAAACCTTAGTCCTCACTCAATCTCCTCTACTTTCAAAGGAGCCAATATAGACTCTCCACAACCCAATCAAAAACAAGCATTCTATCAGACGTAAGATGATTCACTAATTAACCACTTGATTTTTTTTTTTTTTTTGACAGGCAGAGTGGACAGTGAGAGAGAGAGAGACAGAGAGAAAGGTCTTCCCTTTCTGTTGGTTCACCCCTCGATGGCCGCTGCAGCCGGCGTACCATGCTGATCCAAAGCCAGGAGCCAGGTGCCAGGTGCTTCCTCCTGGGCTCCCATGCGGGTGCAGTCCTTGGGCCATCCTTCACTTCACTCCCGGGCCACAGCGGAGAGCTGCACAGGAAGAGGAGCAACTGGGACAGAATCTGGTGTGCCGGCGCCGCAGGCAGAGGGTTAGCCTATTGAGCCGCGGCGCCAGCCAACCACTTGATATTTTCATAAAACTTCGAGTTCTGGGGCTGGTGCTGTGGCATAGCACATAAAGCTGCTGCCTGCAGTGCTGGCACCCCACATGCACGCCGGTTCGGGTTCCGGCTGCTCCACTTCCGATGGCCTGGAAAAGTTGTAGAGGATGGCCCAAGTGCTTAGGCTCCTGCACCCACAGGGGAGACCTGGAAGAAACTCCTGGCTCCTGGCTTCGGATTGGCGCAGCTCTGGCCATTGTGGCCATCTGGGGGAGTGAACCAGCGGATGGAAGACTCCTCTCTCACTCCGCTTCTGTATCTCTGTATCTCTGCCTTTCAAACAAACAAATACATCTTTAAAAAAAAAGAAAAAAGAAAACCTTTGAGTTCTAAGAAATGCCACGTGACAGGAAGCATCTTTGCGGATTTCTGAGCTTCCCAAAGGCAGTTCCAATTTGTGTGTGTTGAAAGGCACAGGTGCAGCATGCTGCGCAGGGCTCCGGAGCTGGGACAAGGTCTGTGAGAGGGTCTCTGATCAAGACAGAGAGAGAGAGAGAGAGAGAGAGAGGAGAGAGGAAAGGAAGGATCGTACGCAACTAAAACTGTAAAACTGGCAAGCAAGACTGATAAGTCAAAGGCACGCTAGAAGAAAAGGAACCACTTCTAATTCTGTCTTCCTCTTTTTTTATTCCTCGAACTTTTTTTGAGTATGTAAATGATTTGGTTTGATGACTTCGCTCTTTAAGTAGCAGCACTGGAAAGATTAAGATGCATTAAAAAAAAAAACACAGAGTTATTTGTGTGACATGAACTGCAGCTGGTGCTAAGAAATCTAATTCATAAGTTTCCTTTTTCCTAATTAAACACAAAAACACTTTGCAAAATTAACTTATGCATTCAAACGGAAGCAGTCTCTCCTCCTGTAATAGATGCTCCCACTCCAGGCAGTGTCTGAAAAGGCTTTGAGCACAGGCAGCTTGAAAACTTCCCTGCACATTTCACAGTGATCGCCCAGGTTACAGACTGAGCTCTTCCGAGTTCAGACAAGAGCAGACCCTTGCTGCAGGAGCCACGTGACTGCACACCTCTGGGCAGTCCCTGGAAAGCTCACCAGGGTTTACCTCGCCTAGGCTGCCTGGGAACCTCGGTGGGCTGCAGCGCCTAACCCCGCCCATAGCAACCCCAGCAGCAGAACTTCAGAGCCCCCGCCCACGAAGGGCCCGCCCCCCGCCCAGGACACCTGCCTCTGCAGCCCAGATCCTGCGTGAACTGCCTGTCCCGTTCACCTGTGTGCGCCCAAAACCACAGACGCGCAGGCTGAAGGGGCCGCAAGGTGTAGCACAGTGAGCTGCAGGAAGCCGTTGGCATTTCATGACCAAACGCCTTGGAGCTTTTTGTGCTTGTTTTTTCCTAACTCTGCAATACAATCACTGAAACAGGTTATTGACGCTCAAAACGTGACTGCAAGTGGTGGAACTCTGTTTTTTTTATGGCTGAAGTATCGCCCATTGTGTAATGTAACTTTAAAATCTCCAAAACCGAAAAGAAGGGAGGGAGGGGATTTAAGCCTGTTCTCAGAACTGTTCAGCACAAAGCACGTGGACTCTGTTAACTAATTAAAGGCACTTACGATAAACTGACAGCATCCCTGGCGGACTCTCCCGGGTCCCAGTGCGCACTTGGCCTCCCGCGCGCGGACTGCCCGGCCCCGCATCCTGCGCCCACCGACCCTCAGCGCCCGGCCGCCCGCGACGACGGGGCCCCCGGCTGCGTGCTGCTCGCGGGGGCGCGGCGCCCCCGGCTGTGGGAACCCCGCCCCGCCGCGCCCGACCCCCGCCTGGCGCGCTCGCGCGGGCCACGGGCGCAGCCGCCCCCGCCCGCCGTCTCCCGTGGAGCTTCCTCCCCGCGCGCTCCCCCGGACCCCCGCAGCGGGAGGGCGCCGGTGCGGCTGGCGGCCCCGACTTACAGCGGTCTCCGCGCTCCCGGGCCTCGGGCTCCGGCCCGGACCCCTGGGCTCGGACTTAAGGACGGCGTCGCCCCGCCCCCGGTGGGCGGGGCCCGGGCGTGGGTGGGGCGGAGGCGTGGGCGGGGCCCTGGCGTGGGTGGGGCCCGGGCGTGGGCGGGGCTCCCGGGCTGCGGGCTCCTTAAGGTAGAACTCGCGTTTCAGACGTGCGGGTCTCTGCTGTGGAACCAGGGACAACAGAACCATGTGTCTGCGACTTCTTAAATACTCAGTTTCCTTTTGCTTTCTCCCAGTAAACTGAGAACAAAGCCGAAAAGGTAGTCAATAACCTACAGCCCTTTATAACAAAGTCAGAATATAAAATATGCACAGTAAAGATGAATAGACGACCACTGAAAAAAAAAAACCAAGTGTGTTCAAATCTTTTTTTCCCAAACGTAAAACACCTGGGTTGACACTCGTTTTTAAATGTAAAATTAAAAGCCTGAGGAGCAGGTTTGACCTGGCTCTGCAATGACTCCCCACCCCCAGCTTGGGCCTGGTGTGTATGTCTTGGCTGCTGAGTTATATGGGATGAGAGCATTCTCTGTGTGTCTGTACCTCTCTTTCTTTTTATTTTTTTTATTTTTTTTTTTTTTTGACAGGTGGAGTGGACAGTGAGAGAGAGAGAGAGACAGAGAGAAAGGTCTTCCTTTTGCCATTGGTTCACCCTCCAATGGCCACCGCGGCCAGCGCACCGCGCTGATCCGGAGGTGGGAGCCAGGTGCTTCTCCTGGTTTCCCATGGGGTGCAGGGCCCAAGCACTTGGGCCATCCTCCACTGCACTCCCTGGCCACAGCAGAGGGCTGGCCTGGAAAAGGGGCAACCGGGACAGAATCCGGCGCCCTGACTGGGACTAGAACCGGGTGTGCCGGTGCCGCAGGTGGAGGATTAGCCTATTGAGCTGCAGTGCTGGCCTTGTACCTCTCTTTCTATCTGTGCCTCTCTCTGTACCTCTGTCTCTCCTGCACCTTTCAAAAATAATTTAAAAATTAAAAGCATATCAAAGAATATATATATTGAGATTTTAGGTTAGAGAGGGGAGATCGAATCAGACTTGCAATGTGAATTCAGATTGATCCAAATTCCATAAACACAGATTCATGTCTTTAAATATCGACGTGTTCGTGCAATTTATTTTTCAGACATGGCATCTCTGTTTTTTCTTTAATCAAATACTTCACACATTGTCCTGTCTTACAATACTTAGAAAGAAATCATTAAATCTTCTGCATTCTCTGCTTCTAGTAGCCTAAGATCCAACTCCTTTTAGTTTCTCCCATAAATGCAACCTTTCTCTCTTTCTTAGCAATGGCCAGGAGTAGCTAATAGATTTTTCATTTTCAAAGAAGACCCTGAGTTTTCTGAAAAGTGTGTGCTAACTCAAGAAGCAGAGAATAAGTTGCTATGTTTCGCCTTTCCCCCCGGTAAACTTGGTAAAGGAAGGCACGTGTCCTGCAGGGCATGCTCATCTGGAGACTCTGAAGAAAGGCCGCCTGGAAGAGCTGGTCAGCTGGGTGACACAGCGTTAGGGCTCACAATGTGATAGTCCTCAGAAGAACCTTCAGCGTTGCCCTAGTGGCTTACAGAACCTCTGCTTCAAGTTCCAGGCTCACTGAGGGGCCCTGCCTTTCAGGCAGCTGTCATCTGTGGGATCGGGCTGATCAGGAGAGCCCTGGCCACTGGGCCTGTCCACCAGGGCAGGTGGCTCATCTGGGACCCTCGCCACTGGGCCTGTCCACCAGGGCAGGTGGCTCATCTGGGACCCTCACCACGGGGCCTGTCCACCAGCGCAGGTGGCTCATCAGGTGGAACACCTGATGTTCTCATGACAACCTTTCCTTCCTCTGTGTGCAGGGCTTTCTATTCTCCTTTGTGCTACTCCACTTCACTCTCCTGTCCTCTACAGAAAAGTGATGTTTGCTCCATGAGCTTGGACATGGGGAATGAGATACTAGATGAGGGTTAAATCCCTGTGTCCAATGAAAATGATTAGCCAGCGTGGGGTGGTAAGAGAGTTGGGCAGAGAAGTCTCATCCAGATTGCAGGTGAACTCAGAATGGCTACCACTCAACTAACTGGTTACAATCATGTGTCCTGTCCCACTGCTATGCTTGGGTCTTCTGCTGCAGCCATATTCACAGTCAAATTTTAAGTTGATAAACGTGCAAGTTATCCATGCCTAAGAATGCAACTGACATAAGTCATTCTTCTCTTTATATATAAGCAAAATCCATCAGGTTAGTAAGTGGCCAAAGCAACGGGAATTGAAGTAACCCTCTGATTTATCTTTGGCATCTGCTAATTGATCCCAGCCTTTCACTCAAACGAACACACAGATTCTCCTTGCACCCCTTCCTCCGTACTCCACTGAAACACTCCTGTTCATCCTGCATGACCACCTTGTCTGGAAATTGCCCCTCACACTCCCCTCATTCCGTTTGAGTCAGAGCACTCACTACAGCATGGATCATATATCCCCCTTGACTATATGAAAGATGTCATGTTCCAAGAGGGAAGGAGACAAGGCCTTCTTTGCAACCGAAGTCCATAACACATCAGGAGCTCAGTGGGTCGGTGTTGTATTTATAGTCCATGATCTTGAGGTCAAAGAGATCCTAAACCTGACACCCAAGGAGCACTCTGCTTATCACTGCCACCTCTGTCATGATATTTCATGTCTCCCTACACATCAATAGATTCCTGGAAGTATGAAACTCAACCAGAGGAAAGGGTGAAATGGACCCTAAATAAGCTATTTCATCATGAATCTAAAAGTTAGATGCAATGATGAAAGAATAGCTTTTGAAAGACAGTATCTATTACCAATAAAAACTATATTTTAATAGCTCAAAATTCTACTAGTAGCTACATATACATTTGCACCAACCTTTTGACCTGAATAGCAGAAAAAATAATTTTCTATTCTTTTTAATTGAACATATTGGGTATACTACTACTACTTTATAAAACATTCTTCCTCAGTTTTTACACATCAGGTTAAGCTGCTGCCTGCCGTTGCTGGCATCCCATATGAGCATGGTCCAAGTCCCAGCCGCTCCACTTCTTATCCAGCTCCCAGATAAAGTGCCTGGGAAAGCAGCAGGAGATGGCCCAAGTGCTTGGGCTCCTGCACTCATGTGGGAGACTGCAAAGAAATTCCTGGCTCCTGGCTTCAGCCTGGCCCAGCCCTGGCCATTGCAGCCATTTGGGGAGTGAACCAGCAGATAGAAAATTTCTTTATTGCTCTCTTTACTCTCTCTCTCTCTGTGTAACTCTGCCTTCCAAATAAATAAATAATAAAAGACAAACAGGGGTCAGTGCTGTGGCATAGCCGGTAAGGCCACTGCCTGCAGTGCTGGCATCCCATATGGGCGCTGATTGGAGTCCCAGCTGCTCCACTTCCAATCCAGCTCTTTGCTGTGTCCTGGGGAAGCAGTAGAAGATGGCCCAGGTCCTTGGGCCCCTTCACCCACATGGGAGATGCAGAAGAAACTCCTGGCCCCTGGCTTTGGATTGGCTCAGCTCCGGCTGTTGCAGCCAACTGGGGAGTGAACCAGTGGATGGAAGACCTCTCTCTCTCTCTCTGCCTTTCCTTCTCTCTCTGTGTAACTCTTTCAAATAAATAAATTTTTATAAAAGAGAGAGACAAAGCCCTGGTGATAATCACTGTTCCTCCTGCAGAGAAAGCAAAAGCTGTTTTTTTCTATGGTCTCCATCACCAACATCTATGTTACATCTTTACTTGAAATCCTGACATATGTAAGCACACGTATTAGTAATGCAGTAGTTTGCACCATCCCAGAGCCCACAATTTTTCCAGTATATCCTACTTCTTACTGTCAGTTTTGTTTGACCATCTTCTCAGTTTCTTCCCAAGTCAGCCAAATCCTTGGTTATTTGACATCAGTAGTAGAGAAGCTACTAGTAGAAAACCGCACCTTCGTCTGCTCTCATTTAGAGAACCAACAGCCATGGTCTTGTCCCTTCCTCCCCCAGTGCTCAGCTCCTGCACTCACCTTCCGGTTTCTGGCATCAAATTTTTCTACCTTCATTTTTCTTTTCATTTTACTGTCAGAATATTGGTTTGTACTCTTGCCTAACTCTCACTTTCATATACATAAAACCACACGACCCTGTTCTTATTTCTTCAGGTCAACTGAGGCTACTCTGCCAGATGCATCTCCCTCCCATATGACTCACATCAGGCTGCTGCCAAGCCCACACCATCCACTTTTCTTTGTGTCCCATTGCATGTGCTGCTATACTTTAGAAACATCTTTTTCTTTTGCAGATATAGAAATAAAAATCAAATCACAATTCCTTCCGATTTTATCACAAATTACAAACTTATGTTGAACAAATGGAAAGATTCAAACTGGCAAAAGTAAATGAGACTTAATACACAGTACAAAGTTTTGACAAAGTCAGTTCATCCTAATTTATTTTACCTATGCTAGCAATAATTTCGCAGGTTGTTTTCTGAGCCCCGAGATGCCTCTAAATTTGGTAAAGTGAGTGCATGTCTGGTTTAGTAATTCTGTAAGAACGGGCATGGGCTCGGTTACTCAGCTCAGAGACTGACTGGCAGGCATTTTACAGGGTTTTAAATACTTGTGTTCTTGGAATTTAAAAGTGATGACGACAGTGGGAGAGGCTGAGTCTGTGTCCTTTGCTCTGAGATAATCCTGGGTAGTAGGAATAACTGCTAAGTGAGTTTCCTGCGTTGAAGTGGCTGGACTCTGATAGATGCCAGTACAAGGATTTAAGAGAATGTTTGGTAGTCTAGGACTTAGATGTTAACAGCATTCTTATGTTTATGAAACCAATGACTAAGAATCTTCAAAACATCTTTGCTACTTGATTTTGCAAATACTTTGTCAGGCCCAAAAATTCCTCTTTGTAAAGGTTGTCTGCCTTCATTCTCTATATATGTATCATTTTTCTCTGATGGGAAATGGGACAAGAACAAGGCAAGTAGCTCTTAAACTTCACCCCAACAACAAAGCTAGTCAACTACCAGAATTTAATTTCGTTAGACTTATGCCCTGGCTTTAAA